GGTGGGGATTTCAAATGCCCTGTTGGCTAGCGGTGAGGTGCCAGCCTGCAGCACTGTCAGAAGATACTGATAGGAGATGTGATTGTTTGCCTGAGAAACATCCTTTTATTAGTCAATGCTGTATTGCTGTGAAGAGACATCATGACCACAGCAGCTCTTATAAAATAAGGCACTTAATTAGGGCTTGCTTACATTCCAAGGTTAAGTCCATTTTCGTCATGGTGGGAAGCCTGGAGGCACACAGACAGACATGGTGCTGGAGAGGCAGCAGAGGTGGATTGGCAGGAAGCAGGAAAAGAGAGACACTGGCCCTGGCTTGAGCATTTGAAGCCTCAAAGCCCACTTTCAGTGACACACTTCTTCCAACAAGGCCACACCTCCTAAACTGTCAAGCAGCACCACTCCCTAATGACCGAGCATCTAAATATATGAGGGACATTCCTGTTCAGCCCACCACAATCTCCTATAGGCTCACATATTTAAACATTTTGTCCCCAGTTGGTGACACCATTTAGGGAGGCTTAGGAGGTTGTGCTAGAGCTAGTTTATCTCTGGGGGGGTGAGATTTGAGTGTATGACCTCACAACTGCTTCCTATTTATTCCCTCTCCGTGTTTGCAGTTAAAGATGTAATCTCTCAGTTTCCTGTTCCTGCTGCCACTTGCTGCCATGCCTCACCACCAAGATGAACCCTTACCCTTCTGCAACCATAAACCCAAACAAATAAACTCCTCTTTCTATAAGATGCCTTAGTCATGGTATTTTATTACACCAACAGGAAAGAAGCTACTACCTTTGGTCACTGGGAGCATGCACATTTAGGGGCTATTGAGACCCCAGCCCCCCTCTCTCCATCCCGCCCTCTCTCTTTCTGCTTCTTGGAGGGCAGAGGGTGAATAGACATCCCTGGCACATAGCCCTGCAATGACATAATGTGCCACCATCAGCTCAAACCCACATGCCCCAGTGACCACAAACGGAGACTATAAAACAATGAGCCAAAATAAACTTTGTCCTTTATGCTGATTATCTTAGTTTTGTCAGAGGGGTGGAAAGCGGAGTCCCCAGTTTGGTGGTTGGCTCTCCCAGCCCCTTCCCTTTATAATTTCAGTGTCCTGGTCCCTCAACTCCTTATCTGCAACCACACATGCTCCTTCCAACATCCACTGAACGATTAATGGCTGACAGACTTCCTGCCTCAGGACTAATATCAGCTTTCTCTCCACTAGCTTAGTGTCCAACAGCACAGTAGCTATTCAGTATTTTCAGTATCACTCCTGGCAGTGAGCCTATTCATCCTTTGATTGAAAACAGGAATGGAAGAACCTGAAAGCCATGTGTACCCTTTGAGGGCCACCTTCCAGTGACATCTTCCTCCCACTCAGCCCTGCCTGCTAGAGTTCCTACGGTTTCCTTTTTTTTTTAATAATTATTTTTAATATATTTATTTATTATTTATACAGTATTTTACCTGCATATGTGTGCTTGTGAATCAGAAGAGGGCATCAGATCTCACTATAGATGGTTGTGAGCCACCATGTGGTTGCTGGGAATTGAACTCAGAACCTTTGGAAGAACAGCCAGTGTTCTTAACCTTTGAGCCATCTCTCCAGGCCCCCTATGGTTTCTTAAAACAGTGCCACCAGCTGGGGACCAAGCATTCAACTCTTGAGCCTGTGGGGGGACATTAATGTTCAAACAGAACAAGGCACATAAAACTGGGTTGTCTGTTTTTGTCTCCTGCGCGCTGATATTGGGGACGGAACTCAGACTTGTGAGCTTCTGCTGAACCACAGCTCCCGGTGCTTTTCAGTTATACTGTGTAACTCACGCTTTCTGTGATCTGCTTTGGATTTATACCACAGGCCTGGAACAGGGAGAGGAGGGAAGCGTAGGTTTCCCTCATGCTCCACCTACCTTGATCCATGCTGTCTGGAGCCAGGAAGGCAGGCGCTGGGACTGCGGTCTAGGGTTTCAGCTTGAGGTTTACTCTACCACAGGTCAGCTGCTGCCACAACTCTCCTAAAACAAGGAGCAGGGATTTCCTGGGGCCAGCTGTGAAGTCTGGGAGCCCAACAAAAAACCGTGCCTCTCTGTCTCTCTCTCCCTGTACCCTACTTTCTCTCGCGAGATCTCTCTCATTTTCCAGGTATGTCAGATGTTTCTGATTCACCGGCTACCCTTCTGGGCTGAATGACTCATTTGACTCATTTGGGAAGAGGGGATCCGTGTGTGTGTGTGTGTGTGTGTGTGTGTGTGTGTGTGTGTGTGTGTTTCCCTAATAGAGGTCATGTGTGACCACAGAAAGAAAAGACTTTGGCCAGCCCCCCTGCGATAACATCTTGTGAGAAGCTTGGGAAAGCACGTGGGGCTGTGTGGGCTCAGGTTAAAAACTGGCCTTTGTCCAAATGGTGAGGTCAGCCATTGCTCTAGGGGCCTGCACATCATTTGCAGTAGCTCTAGACAGCCTGAGGCCTTTGGGAAGCAGAGTTCTAGGCACACAGTTGGCTAGGTCTGTTGCCTGCCCAGATGCATCATGAAGCGGTGTCACTAAGTCAGAAGAGGAAGCCCTGGCTGAGAAGAGACATTCTTCTGCCTCAGCCTTGCAAAGCTTCTGTCTTGCAGGTTTCTGACTTGATCACAGTGATGGGTATAGTCTAGCCAGGGGTTTGTTGCTAAAAGGATTGGGGAGGGGGCCTGGCCTCCAGCTGCCAGGGAGGAGGCACTTTCTCCAGCAGGTAACCAAACTTCCACTAGAGCAGGTTTGGGTCAAACCTTCCCCCAAAAGCCCTGAGCCCAGAAGAAATCAGGGTGTGGCTGATGGAAATCAGATGATGAGAAAATTAACAGCTTCCAGGAAAGGGCTGTGAAGCTTCAGAAGTCATTGCACAAGAAGCCTCTTAACTACAAAGGACTACTGTTGTGTCCCCAACTCCTTCAGTGGCACACAAGACAGAGCCTGGTTACAGCAGTATGCCTATCAGGCAATGTGCTGGGAGTTGATACTTGAAGACAGAAGGTGTCACATAAAGTTAAATTGAGGTAGAGAGAGATTGTTTTTAGAAGGAATGACTATGTTCATGGGCAGAATGGTCTCATCTCAGGACCACAAGCGTCTCAGATTCAAACAGAAGAATAAGGGGCCGGGGGCTTGTTTTTCTGTGGCAGAGGAGGGACAGAGTCAGGTAGAATCTGGAGGAGACGCTGAACAAACACTGGGAAATGACTTGGCAAGCAGGGGAAAGTTCTGGTCATCCTCAGCCCCTTCCCAGAAACTGGTGAAGGTGGACTGGGAGAGGCAGCCCATTTCATTTGTGTGTGCCAGCCTGCCTGGGTGAAGGCAGAGGTTCCTACTGTGGAACCAGTAAAGAAAGAAAGAACCCCAAGTGAAGTTTGAACAAGTGAAGCCATAGGCACCCAGTTCAAGGCAAGAATAGATATAGCAACTAGGCTCATATCGGTATGAAAAGTGCTTAAAACTAGAATTACGGCTATCATATTGATATAAAACGAACACATTGTAAAAGATTTCATTTGACAAATACAGATGAAGCAACCAGAAGCGTCATAGTTTGTTTGTTTGTGTGTTTGCTTTTTAGACAGGGTCTCGCTGTGTAGCCCTAGCTTCTGGAACTTGCCATGCAGAGCGGGCTGGCCTGGAATTCGTGGAGATCTGCCTTTCCCTTCCTCCCCAGTGCTGGGATTTATAGACATGGGCCACCATGCTCAGCACCAGGCATTTGTTTCTGGCGTGACCGTTTCTAAGCTTCACAGCCCTTTCCCGGGATAGCTGTTCCGTTTTTTCCCCCTGCTGTCTGATTTCCATTGGTCCCACCTGATTTCTTCTGAGTTCAAAAGAGAAGTGGAAGAAGGACGCTAGACACCCTTTATGCACAGGAGAGAATAGTGAGGAGACAGTGCAAACAGGCAAACTCTGGCATTCACAGGGAGAAAGACACTGACTCCTCCAGGAACAGTTATTTGCTCGCCGCATAGATATTTCAAGATTGCTACAGTTACCTACAACTTCAGGAGTTACAAACTATCTCAGAAACCACGCAATGCTGGACTGAGATGACCTGGGGGGGGGGGGGTCCAAACCAGGGCTTCCCAGCCTGGCACAGAGGCATTTCCGTCAGCTGTTCTCTTTGTGGAGCGCGGCCCTGGACCCTCCAACCCTTCAGTAACATCCAGTTGTGACAATATGAATAAGGTCTGCAGTTACAGACAAAGCCTCTTGGGTCACATGGGTGGGTGGGGTCGCCTCCAGCTGAGACACCTCCCCCCGCCCCCGCTTTAAACCATTCATCCATTCATAGCCCAGGCAGATTCTAAGCCCTCCCAGTATCCAGAAGCATATTCTCTGTGTGTGAGCTGCAAACCAGGAACTCTCCCTGGACAAAGCAGGGGCTCTATGGTGAGTGCTGCCCTCGCAGCAACTCAATTAGCCCTCTCAAGTGAATTTGAGTTCTACATAAGCATTACGTCATTACTCTAGTACAGGTTCGCCTCGGCTGATATCTGAGGGCTACACATACTGAAAACCACACATTTCCCCCCTTTATTTGAAATTTAGATTTAACGAAGAGGACTGGTTTTTGTCACGTTGCACAAACCCTAATTTACGCAAAAAATAACTGTCCAGGGGTTAGAAACTCTGATCTTGCTGTGACTATCTTTAATTCATGGGGGTCACCTCGCTGCGCGTCCATGGGGCTCAGTTTCTCATCTGTAAGATGGGCCCACCAGCAGCCACTTCTCACAGAATTTGGGGTAGTAGCTCGTATGCCCAGAGCGGGCAGAGCTCTGTTCCGATCCTGCGCCCAGTGAGCGGCAACTGGGCTAGTCCCTCATCCGCCACTGACTCATCCGATGTTTCCTGGACAGTCACTGCTGAGTTTCGCCCAGCCTCCCTCCCCACGGGCTGGGGTTTGGAGTCTCCACGTTCACAGCCCAGCTTGCAAGCGTACTCCTGCCGTCCGGGCCGCGCCATCCCGGGAGCCGTCCGAAGGTGGCAGCACCGGGCCCGCAGTCCTCCACGGTGGGGCTGGCGCTGTGCAGGTCGCCCGCTGGCGGCGTCCGGGGCCCGACGCCGAGCAGGCCGGGAGAGGCGGAGGCCACACCCCGCGGCCCAGGCGCTTCCCGCCGGTGAATCATCGCCCGCAGCAGCGGCTCCCGCAGTCCGCTGCAGCACCCCGGGCCCGGCCTCGCCCCAGCCGAGCGCAGCGCCCCGCCTCTCCGCGACCCCTCGCTCCGCGCCGTGCGCCACTCCCGATCGGCACCATGGCAGGCATCGCCATGAAGCTGGCCAAGGACCGCGAGGCGGCCGAGGGGCTGGGGTCGCACGAGAGAGCCGTCAAGTACCTCAACCAGGACTACGAGGCGCTGCGGAACGAGTGCCTGGAGGCCGGGACGCTCTTCCAGGACCCTTCCTTCCCCGCCCTGCCGTCGTCCCTGGGCTTCAAGGAGTTGGGGCCCTACTCCAGCAAAACTCGGGGCATCGAGTGGAAGCGGCCCACGGTAGGCAGCGCGCGGACAACGGGCGGGGTCGGGATGGCCTGGAAGGGCGCTCGGGGTGCCGGGAGGGGCTGCAGTGGGAGGCTGCGAGCCCGGGCTCCCCGGCTCGGCAGGGCTGACTTGCCAGTGCTCCGCGACCGCTGCCAAGCCGACTCTCCGAGCAGGCTGCGGCCCACCCAGTGGACCTGCCCCCGGCTGCGCCCAGAGCGCAGGGCAGGACCCCCAAATCCCAGTGGGCACGCCCTGGAGGCCGCCTCCGGCTTCCCTAGGCTGCAGGGCCGCTGGGGCGAAACTTTTGTTGGGCTGTGGTGGTGAGGGGGGGGGGGGGGGGTATTGTTGTGCTGTGGGGGTAGGGATAGGGCAGAAGACTCGGTGGCTTTGGGGCACTGCCTGCCGCTGGCTGACACATGTGGTCGTAAGTACCTGCGGTTGTTAGATTTGTTTGGCTTGAATCTTGTCTGTTTCTCAAAGTGCACTTCCAGGATCCCTCCCCCAATCCTTAGCCGGATAACTTAGCCAAACATTGAAGCACTCCAACGATCTTGTTAGCCATTATTTTGCTGGCCTCACCTGGGAACCTCTGCCCCACTGTCCAACCCTCAGGGTCTCTGCCCGGAAGCCCTCTCTGTTCCCTTGTGGGCTGAGTCTCCAGTGGAAGAAGCCCTGCTGGCCCGCATCCCACGGAACCCTCACTTGGCTTTCCCAGGGAACAGAAAGGAAATCTAGACTCCCGGATTCCTGTTGGCCAATGGGTATTCAGACCCTGCTTCCATACTGTTGATTCTCCCGGGCCAGTGCCAAAGTACCGTAGACCAGCTGAGGTATAGCGCAGCTGGCAGAGTGCTTCCTGAGCAGGCATGAAGCCACGGGTTCAAACCCAAGCACCCCATAAAGCCAGGTGCACGGTAGTGTATGTCTGTAATTCCGCACTCCGGAGGTGGAGACAGGAGGATCACAAATTCAAAGCCGGGGGGCGGGGCATAGAGATGGCTCTGTAAGGGCATTTGGCGGCCATGCTTAATGACCTTAATTCTATCCAAGAAACTACGTGGAAAGAGAGAACCAACTCCCAAAAATTGTCCTCTGACCTCCACATGCACACGGTAGATTCTTGCAGGTATGCACACACACAAAATAAAATTAATAATAACAACAAAAGAAGGTCGAGGCCATCCTTGGCTATATAGTGCATTTGAGGCCAGCCTGGACTACATGAGACCTTGACTCAAATTTTAAAATAAATGAAAAAGTGCGTGTTAGAGCCTGACGCGTGGGTGCATTGGGTGAGTCACTGGTCCTCTGTTCCTCGCCTCAGCTGGGCGTGGTAGTACACGCTTGATCCCACCCCTCACTACATACTCTGCAGCTTTGGAGGCCAACCTGAGCTACAAAGTAAGACTGTCTCAAAATCAAATGGATAAGATACAAAGAGAGCAAGTGGGGGCCTGTCTGTTCTCTCTCTTGTCTAGCACACTTGGTGCAGCTGCCACAGCTGCTTCCGTTTCCCAGAGGCACCCAGGTCTTTCTCTTGCCCTTCTCATCTATCAGGCACGCTCTCTCCCCAAGTCTGGCTCACTGATACTCTTGCACAAGGCTCCTCCTCAAAGAGTCTTTCCTGGCCAGGCAGGCCAATGGCAGACCTTTCCCACCCTGTGCTAATTTGCTGAGCTGGTGTGTGTTATTTGCCCACGTGTTCTCAGTGTCTTGCCAGAGTAGTGACCCTTCGCTACATTCATTCATTCATTCATTCATTCATTCACTCACTCATTCATTCATTTATGGAGTGCTTATTCTAGGCCAGGCATTAAGCATCCATCAACAACAACAAAAAGTCACTGGCTATTTGGAGAATTAATGAATGAATGAATAAATAAATGTATAATCATCGAGGGCCTCGGATGACATGATTGGGGAGAGAATTCAGACACAGGAGAACATGTAGTGAGCATTTGTATACTGTTTTACAACTTATTTTCTATCCCGCTTCCATTTCTGTGGTTATGATAAACACCCTGGCCGAAGCAACTGAAGGGAAGAAAAAAATTATTTGGCTTATAATTCCAGGTTTCAGCACATCGATGTAGGAACTTGAGGGGACATTGATGCAGGAACTCGAGCAACTGGTCACATCACATCAAGCGCAGAGAAAAGCAAATGCCACACATTGCCTGCTTGTCTCTGCCCCATACAGTTCAGAACCCCCTGCCTAGAGAATGGTGCCACCCGCAATGGGCCAGGTCTTCCTACATCACCTACCAATCAAGATAATCCCTCATAGACAGAGCTACAGGCCAACCAGATGTGGATAATTCTTAAACCGAAACTCCCTTTTCCCTTGACTGTAGGCTGAGGCAAGAGGACATTTAAAACCACCCCCACATATACGAGTCCACACACTCCTCCATTCAACTCTGCATTCAGTCACTGAGCACTTATGGGACACCTATTGTGTTCCAGACACAGTATACTTAGTTTCTGTCTCTAAAGACAACAGAGGACAGAAATGCCCCTCAACAGGTGATAGTGCCTATGGGCCTTCCAGGTAGAAAACAGATCACTTCAGAGCCACTGCCTAGGGCAGGCAGGCTATGCACCCAACAACCATCAACCACCATACAAGTGTAGAAACTGAATCTCCGGAATGCCAAACTTGCTCAGAACAACAACAGGAGTGGAGCTGGGGTTGAGCCAGCTGTCCCAGCCTGTCTTGTCATAGCCTGGTGGGGCCAGGCAACAGGAGTTTAAAAAAATGTTCCTATGGGATTCATTAGCCAGTTATTGAAGACTGGATGAGAGAGCTATGTCAATAGATAGTGGGGCAGGAACCAGGCAGGCTGCAGAGCCTAGAATAAGAAATGGAAGTGAAATGGGTGTTCTACTCTTAAAAAAAAAAAAAAAAAAAAAAAAAAAACTATGTCTAAAGTACAGGAAGAGGGAAGGGGAGGGAGGGAGAAGAGAGAGAAAGGGCACACAAACACCTATGGCTTGATTTAAGAGACTGTTCAGCTGTGAGCAATTTAAGTTTGTTAGAGGCTGAGTCATGAGAGAGGAAGGGATTAAAGATGACTTCCAGAGAAAGAATGAAACAACCCATGAGGAAGAGAAAGCAGGGCAGGCAAGGAAGCTGGTTAGCCATGTTGGGGTAGGGTCGGGGCCTGAACACTGGCGAGAGAGGTCTCCACTGCAAAAGAGACGAGACAGAGCGTGACCACAGCCACCCTGAGGGCAGCGGCCAGTGCAAGGCTGCAGTGAGGACTGGTCCAGCACCACCCAAGTCAGCTTCTCCCAGCTGCCATGTATAGAGTACGTGCCGTGGCTATAAAGGGTTGTTTCACCGAGCCCTGAGAACAGTCCTCTGTGGGTGCTACATTTGTCCTCTTCACCCCCACTGTACAGATGCAGAACAAGCTTCAGGGTTTCCAGCTAGGCCCTATGCAATAAATGGCAGTCCCGAGATTCCCACGAGGTTATCGGAATCCAAGGCCCCAGCCCTCCCTCCTTTCTTCTATGGCTACAGTTTAATTCCGGCCTCCAAGGCTGTGTCCGGGGCTCAGTTTTCTAAAGTGTTTCTGGGCTGTGAAGTCTGAACTCTGACTTCTCTGGAGACTCTGCGGCAGTCTCTGAAGTACAATGGTAAGAACTTGGCCCCTGGATGATCAGTGTGACAGAGGCTCCTGGAACTGAGCCCAGTCTGCTCCTTCCTTCCCCGGGATAAGTGCTTGCATGGCAAGACTTAGGAAAAGTTGGCTATTCTGCCCTGACAGAAGTGCTTTCCCATTGTCCCTGCATCCCCCAGGCAGGCTGATGGGGAGGGAGGAAGGGAGCACGCTCTGTGAGCTGGTGTGCTGCTGGAGGCTGCCGGGGCAGAGCAGCTCTCACCCAGGGAAGAAGACCCCTGTAGACAGAATACTGACAAGGGACCAGACCACTCTATGCAGAGGCTGCAGATGTGACACTCCTACAGACCAACAGCGCTGCTGAGTCGATTGCAGCTTAGATTTGGGCCCCGACTTCCTCTGTGGCTTTTGGGTGGAGCTCCTCAGAATCCGGAAACATATCCCCAGGGGGCTGCTGCCGGAGGGCTGAACCCTTCCACCGTGGCTGTTGGGAACAGCCCCCTCAGAGGCACAGGAGCTCTAAACAGCCGGGGCAGGCAGTGAGTTCAAATCCCAGTGGTCTCTACCATTGGGGAACCGTGAAGTTCTGAACAATCACTTTACACCTTGAGCTATTACCGACGTATAAGAGGAGCTGACACCATCTTGAGTTCCGAAAGGGCTACATACAAGAGATAAGGCTTTAAGCAGCAGGGGCAGAATGCATGAATTCTCCAAGTACTGGAAGAATACAGAAGGGCTTCACCCAGCCCCCGGACCCCCCCCCCCGAAAAGCACGGATATTAGAAAGATGGAGGAGTACCCAGGAGCGTCACCAGGCAGCAAAGATTCAGGTTCTCAAAAACCCTGGGACTGGGACGGAACTCAAAGGGAAGAGTGGGGATAAGTGACGAAGAAAGGCTTCACCCTGGGGGAGAGGAAACAGAGTATTGAAATATGAACGATTTGCAAAGTGTAGGCAAAGGAGGAATGTCATGCAGGCCCAACCATTTGTTTGCAGGCTCGGAGGAGAAGGCACCGGAATGTCGGGCAGGGGTCTCAGTGTCTGGCAGAGAAAGCTGGACTGTTCCCTGGCCCAGAAAATTTGGAGTATGTGTAGGGTCTGATGACTCCCTGAAGTCCACCCCCTCCTGTTAGGGCCAATGGAGCAGAGTCAGGAGGACAGGGGTCTAACTGTGAAACTTTCCTCAGAGCTGATCAGCACGAGGAGGAGGAGGGGCTCTAAGCACCCACAGGGAACCGAGGCTCCTGTCCGCTGTGCTGACCGAGCTCTGTGTGTTTGCTTCCAGGAGATCTGCGCTGACCCCCAGTTCATCATTGGAGGGGCCACCCGCACAGACATCTGCCAAGGAGCCCTGGGTAAGTGGTGGGATCTGCAGCAAGCACATTCTGTGGCTTCTCTCCCCAAGCCGCGTGGTGACTTCCATTTCCAGAAACTTTAGGGATTTCTTGTCTCCTGGGGATGGTCCCCCAGCCAGTCACAGTGCTAAGATGGAAGCTCTGTGAGGTCCAAGGCAGGTCCCCAGGAGGAGGCAGTGATTCAGCATGAAGGAAGGGGTAACCTCGCTGCTGCAGAGAGGAAGTGGAAAGCACCAGGGCCAGCTCCGCCCTGCAGGCAGCTCCATGGGGTAGCATACCAGGGAAAGTAATGTGGATTGTGAACACTTGTGTAATCGTGATGCTCATGTAATTCAAACTAACCCAAGCATCAGTCAGGATTGGGAGGACCAGATCTGAGGATTAGGATTCTAGGGTCCCCAGCTTCATTCTGAAACTCCCCAGGCTTCTGTGAAGTCTCAGCAATGAGAACCCACTTTCTTATTTTTTTTTCTTACACATAATAAACATGGGCCTATAATTACTGGAGGCAGATTATTTGCTCTGATAAACCAGAAACCTGTTATCCACCTCAACTGGCTTCCTGAACAAGTTCACTGTAACGAAACTGATTGTTCAGAATTCACTACCTTCCCGTGCCCACTTCATAGGGGTTCTGATCTCTTAATGATGGCAGCCACTGCTTACGAAGCCAGTCAGTAAACCATGCTTGCCCACATGGTTTAAGATACTTCCTGATCTCTCTCAGATGATCATTTTACAGATGAGCCTGCTAACGCCATGCATATCATAGCCAGAGAAGACGCCTGGTCTACAGACACATTTGCTCTGACCCCAGCACTACTGTGTTAAGTGCCAAGGTGGCCTCCCTTGAAAGAGGTCTGCAAAAATGCCACCCTGTGGGAGATGTCATGGCCTGTGCAAATTCTCAGGACAGGACAACCTTTAGAGAGAACAGGATCCAGGCCTGTTGGAACACAACTATGCTGAGTGTAGATTCCTAAAATGCCAGAGAGCTTTCTCACCTGCAGAAAGCACTCTCCCCAGGAAAGAGAACAGACCCGGCATCCTGGGGTGCCTAATGTGGGTGTTCTGGGGGGACAAGCCACTGGCCGGAGAAAATGGCGATGATAAGGGTTGGAAGTTGATTGTGATTTTGACCAACCTGTGAACTTTGGAAGGCCCTAGGAAAATGCAGCACCTACCGAGCACTGCTCAAAGACTGAACAGCTACTTCAAAAGTGTGTCCACTTCCTAAGGACCAAGCTGTACATAAGTACATGAGTTAAGTCTCATTTCAGTTCCACCAGGCAGTTTGGAAGGGGCCACAAGGGCTAAACTCTGGGGAGAAATTGTTTGCTCTATGTCCAGAACCAAATGAGAAAGAAATGTAAACCCTCCTAAACTTTCCCAGTGATTGGTCAAATGTTTAAGGTTTCTGAAAGAACCAGGTTAGCCATTTTATTTTCTTCTTGGCTTTTCATTCTGGAAGATTCTAACATGATTGTGGGTGGTGAAATGTTGGTTTACTGAACTCTCACCCTTACTTCGGCGTCGGGGCATGAGGTTCTGAAGGGGTGGTAAGGTCCCCAAGTCCCAAAGGGCTCAGAGGCAACAGAAGGGTTGTGGCAGAAACACAGGCCCAGTAGGACCGGTGACGACATTCTCAAGTCCCAAAAGGCTCAGAAGTGATGGAAAGGGGGCTGTGGCGAAGACACAGGCTTCCGTAAAGTCGGTAGTTGGGAGAACTCGGCCCAGGCATCACTGGGGACCTCAGTTTTCCCAAACTGCAGAAGGAAGGAAGGTAAACCAGAACCCACTGATATGTGGCATATTCTTGCATATTCAGCCATTCTTGCTGTGGCATGGGTCAGTGGCAGAGCCCTTGACCAGCATGCACAAATGAGGTCCTAGGTTCAACCCCGGTGACAGCAACCAGCCAATCAATAGAATCAAGCCAGCTGTTACCAATTCCTTGGTCCAGTAGGTGAGCAACAAGTATCATCACCTGAGTGACTCGGACGTTTTTCGTTTGGCTGGGCTGCATTACTGTATACATACCCCAAGTTCCAAGTAGGTATTTTTACGCTGCTGTGCAGATATGAAAACTGAAGCACAGAGAGAGGAGGGTCCGTGTGAGGTTGTACCCTAACATTGCCAGAGCCCTGGTCTGATGGTGCCAAGTCCTGCACTGATTTATAACCCCATGCAGGATCTGAATCCTCGGTGCTCAGCTGAGCAAGGACGTTTCATTTCTCCATATGTGCCTCCTACTACAAATGCATTCACTGGCCCAGTGAGCCTGGGTAAGTGGCAATGAAAGGCTGGGCCTCAGCCAGACACTCTGTAACTGCTGCTGATGGTGTTGGAGCCTGTGCCCAACGTGCCTCTGGCACCCAGGGGAGAGTGTAAGGTTCTCCTCACCCCCCATGCTGACACAGCTGTTTAAACAGCAGACCTGAGCTCTCTGGGCCCTTGAAGTGGGCTGCTCGACCTCCACCTTCATTTGGCTCCCAGAACAACCACCAGGAGGTGTTTATCCACAGGGTGCCCTTCTCTATGGCCTCCTAGGATTTCCCTCATCAGAGAGGCAGCAGGGAGCCAGCTCAGTGGGAACCATGCCGCTGAAGGTGGAGTTTCCAGCTTGGCTCCTTCTACCACTTGGTAGCCCTTCTGGTCTTGGGCAGGCCACCCAACTTCCGTGAGCTGTAGTTTCCCCTTCTGTAATAACGGGAATACAAACTTAACAACTTAAAACAGTCCACGTAGCCCTTTCAACTTGACAGTGGTGTGAAGAGCACACATATTCTGCACAAACCACACTTTGGATTTTGTTCTTTTCCTGGCTGCTAACAGGCATCCAGGAACCCAGCGACAAATACAGCTTAAGAGAGCGTTTATTTTAGCTCACAGTTCAAGCATACAGTCCATGGTGGGAAAGCCAGAGTGGCCGGTGGGCCATGGTCACCTCATGTCCACAATCAGGAACAGAGAGTGATGAATGCAGGCTGCTGTCCAGACAGCACAGGACTTCGACAAGGGAATGGTGACACCCAGAGGGGGCAGGTCTTCCCACCTCCACTAATGGGATCAAGATCATCCCCCATAGGCATGCCCAGAGGCCCATCTTCTAAGCAATTCTAGAGCCTGTCAAGGTGGCAGTTAACTCTAGTCTTCCCAGTAGGTCAAAGAACATCTGTAATGAAAATATGCTTTTCCCAGAGATGGAGGAAGTAGGAGTTAGCACACTGCAGGATCCTAAAGAAGTTGAAGGGAATGCAGATGGTAATGGAGCCCAACAATGGGAAAAGAAAAGGAGCAGGGAAGAAATAAATTGGATTAGAAGCTGGACCTTTGTCCCTTGAAAAGCTTGGAATCCAAGCATGAGCGTACCACAGTGGCAAGGGCATGCCCAAGTCTGGAACACTCAAAAGATGAGAGATTGTAAGTCAGAAAGTAAATCATTAAGGAGGATATTGCCTGGAACTCACAGTGTAGCTCAGGCAGGCCACTGACTGGATACCTTCACGCTGGGCTCCGTTCTCCGCTCAGTACGTTGTATAAAGACAGGAGGATGGATTAGCTTCCACTGCCAAAGTAGTCAACGCCATTGTCTAGTTATTGTCTTTTTAAAAAACTGCATGTGTCATTATTGTTGTTGTTATCATCATCATCATCATTGTGTGTTTGTGCCACCGGGCTGTTTTATGCCCTAGATGCTGGGTTACAGGCTGTGCCAGCGTGCCTGGCTTCTTACTTATGTGTTTGTGAGGGCTTTGCTATGTAGCCAGGCTTAGAATCTGTGTTTATCCCAGCCTCAAACTTACAATCCTCCTGCCTCAGCCTCCCGAGTGCTGAGATTACAAGTGTGCCACCATGCTTGGCTTAAAATGCAAATTACCACACACACACACACACACCCTTTTTAATGTGTGTGGGTTTCTGCATGCTTGCATGGTGTGTGTGTGTGTGTGTGTGTGCGTGTGCGTGCGTGCCATGTTCATGCAGTGCTCAAGAAGGCCAGGAGAGGTTTACATGGTTTCATGAAGGTGTTGGAATCTAACCTATATTCTCTGAAAGGGCATCCGGTGTTCTTAGCCACTGAGTGAGCCGTTCAGTCTAGAATCCCAAATGTGAATTTTTAAATTCACCTTTTTAATAGGAAAAGAAAATATGTTTTTTACATTTTAGTAAACTTTGTGCCATTAGAATACCTTTAGATTTACAGAAAAATCGAGCAGGCGGTGCAGAGAGTCCTAGGCCCCAGAACTAGTTTCCAGTCTTATGACCATCACACGTGAGTGTGGTACGTCTGCTACCATTGATGAACCAGTATCAGTGCGTTCTCCTAAGGTCCATACACCATGGGGATCCTCAGGTTTACCCAGCAGCCTTTTGCTGTTTGGGGTCTCTCCGGAATGCCACATTGCATCACTCGTGTCCCCCAGGGCACCTCTTGACTGTGACAGCGTCTCCATTTTTTCTTGTGTTTGTTGAGAAGTCTTAAAGATGCTCTTCTCTTAGAATTTGCAAGTGCCTCCTTTTAACATAATGTATGGAGATGCCGAGCAGGGTGGTGCATGCCTATAATTCCAGAATTCAGGGGACGGAGGAGGTGCCAGGCTAGTCCGATCCATGTTGTAAGACCTTATCTCAGAAACACTAAGTTAATAATAAGATGATGGTGGTGATGATGATGATGTTGCTGTTAAAATAAAACAAAACAAAACAAAAAACAATGACCAGAAAACAGGTGTGGGCTTTAATGAAGAAAGTCAACCCATCCTTCTCTCTTCATAGACCTTCACTACCAGCTGCAGCTCCCATCCCTTACCCTGCCACACCCCCAGAGAGACCCCACCCAGAGCACTTCAGTATCTATGAGTCATGGCTTCCACAGCTTCCCTTCTGCTGCAAACACTCTTGCACAGTTCTCTCCCCTGAGGCTGCTGTCAGCTTCCCAGCTGTTTTCCTGCAGCAGCTAAGGCAGCATAACCAGGGCTCAGGTGAAGGGCTAAGCT